CCTGTCTCCTGAAAGAAAGAAAATTATGTTTTGCCACTGATTTAGCCATATGAAACTCATCTCATTACCCTTTTCTGGTCCGAAAGTGCTATCTCTGAAAGTGCCATCTCATCATGCTTTGTATCAGTCAGTGCTGGAAAAATCTTGAATAGCTTATGTACAAAGCTTTGAAAATTTTGTATTATTTTGAAACTTTGCTTCTTTGGGTTTGGGGCATCCTGGCCACCCCATCTGGCTGTGAGAGCTCTCAACAGTTTGTGGGCTGGCCATGTGCTGATCTTTTAAAGTTTCTTCCCTGCCCAATCCCCACCTTTTGATGGTTTCTGTGAGGTCTGTTAGGTGTACATCCTGCAGCTTATTGGCTTAAAATGTACTCTCCTTTGGTGTGATCTCTTTGGGGCCAATTGGGAGAAAGAGAAAACCAATAGTGCAACTGTTTTGATACTGAATATTGACAAGTGTCTTTTTGAAATAAAGTACCAGTCCCTCCAAAAAAAAAAAAAAGAAGCCATTTCTTAATTGCCATGTATCTTTAGACAAAATTTCTACTCTACCAATCAAAAGAAGTTGGATATGTCATACTTTAAAACAGTTACCAAAAATGCAAGTCCAGCCTGGGCACAGTGGCTCATGCCTATAAATAATCCTAGCACTCTGGAGGCCAAAGTGGGTGGATCATTTGAGCTCAGGAGTTCCAGACCAGCCTGAGCAAGAGCTAAAAAAAAAAAAAAAATTAGCTAGACAATAAATATATATATATAAAATTAGCCAGGCATCGTGGCGCATGCCTGTAGTCCCAACTACGTGGGAGGCTGAGGCAGGAGGATCACTTGAGCCCAGGAGTTTGAGGTTGCTGTGAGCTAGGCTGATGCCATGGCACTCTAGCCGGGCAACAGAGTGAGATGCTGAATCAAAAAAAAAAAGCAAGTCCAGAACGTCCCTTACACATTCTCTCATTGGAAGTTCTTCCTAATATTTAATGCAATGTTGCCACATGTGTTTTAAGCCTACTTTCTCTTAATTTGTCCTTAAAGAAAGGAGGGGGAGAGCAGTTCAATTCTGTACATGACAACATGAACTGGTCATGATGCTGTCCCAATATCATTGTATTGTAGATGCTATTAAAGTTTTCCACTGTAGTTGCTATAGAAATAGTGAGGAATAGCAAGGACAGGTTCAGGCATAAAGCTTCTCAGAGAAAAGGTATTTCAGAAAAGAAAGGTCTAAGCTAACCTTATGCAAAGCCTTAGAAGCCCTCAAGGCCACTGGAGAAGGAATGGAACTCAACTGATACACAGTGTTACCTATTTTGCTTTTTTTGTTGTTTTGCCTCATTTGTGACTTTTTGACAACAAAGAACAAAGAACCAATCTGCCAAGGTTGAGAACACAGAGGCTTTTATTACTGTGAGATTCTTTATCTTCTGTTCAGTGGTGGAAAACAAACATGGATGATTACTGCTCTTTACTAATGCTGGACATACTCTGGACAGTGGGGTGAAAAGTGGGAATTTTAGAGTTTGAGTAACTAAGTAAGAGCCCTAAAAGGTCCCTACCCCTGATAACCATTTATATTTCATTTGCCTCTGCAACTCCTGCCAAAGGTAAGAGCCCTCCAAAAACACAATATTTTACTAAAAAAACCTCTTAATGATTTAATAAGTTTATTGTCTGAAACTCAGTTTTCACACTCAACTCTCATCCAAATAAAGAAATCAATCTTTCAGCCATGAAACCTACCTTATGTCCAAAATAACTTTGTGGAAAGGTCTGTCCACTCCCACTAGCTCAGGAATCAGGAAAAAATCATTCTCCCAATAATGGGAGGCAGAAAAAAAAGGGAAGAATAGAGAGAAGCAAAGCTGGAATGATTGTTTTATTAATTTCAAACAGGAGAAATTTTTTAAAATACAAATGACTTTAGAAGGCGGGGGGGGGATCTAAAAGTTATTGCACATCAAATTTGGAAAATTCCAGTTTAACAGTTCTTTGGTAAGATATGAGTCCCCTTTTCTAGGAACTTCAGAAATTATCCTCATTCTTGAGACTTAAAATACGGTTTGAAGATCGGCAACATTGAGAGTTCTCGGGAGCATTTTAGAAGTGTGGACTCCTAAGCCCACCTTTCTGTAATTTAACAAGATTCTCCAGGTGATTCAGATGCATGTTAAATTTTAAGAAGCACTGATTATAATCCTGGGGATTCTTCTTTGTTTGTAATGAGCCCCCAGGTGATGTCACGGTTGCTCGTGTATTTTCTGCACCTAGAGTAGCAGAGTCACCGGTTCTTTACTCCGGCTGCACAAGAGAATCACCTGAGGAATTTCAACATGAAATGACTGACACCCAAGTCTCTCCCAAGTAGGTTCTGAGTTAACAGGCCTGGGCTAGGGCTCAGACTAATTAGTACTTTTCAAAAGCTTCCAGGTGATTCTAATGAACAACCTGTGCCCAGATCCCCTTACCTTGACAAACCCTTGATTTTCAAATCTATAAGGCAGGTAGAGTAGGTATTGTTATACCTGTTCAACACATGAGAAAACCTAGGATTCAAAAATTAGCTGAGAGCTGCTTTCACTAGACTGACCTCGAAAGCGGTGAAGTTAACTGGTATCTCCCCAGCTGAGAGTAGAGGAAAGTTAAGGTCTAAAATTAATACAATGTCCAGTATTTTCCATTGTGAGTCCACAGAAAAAGCCTGAAAGTTGCAGGGCGCGGTGACTCACACCTGTAATCCTAGCACTCTGGGAGGCTGAGGTGTGTGGATTGTTTGAGGTCAGGAGTTCAAGACCAGCCTAAGCAAGAATGAGACCCCCCCCCATCTCTACTAAAAAAAAATAGAAAGAAATTAGCTGGACAACTAAAAAAAATATATATATATAAAATTAGCCAGGCATGGTAGCGCACGCCTGTAATCCCAGCTACTTGGGAGGCTGAGGCAGAAGGATCACTTGAGCCCAGGAGTTTGAGGTTGCTGTGAGCTAGGCTGACACCACAGCACGGTAGCCCAGGCAACAGAGTAAAACTCTGTCTCAAAAAAAGAAGAAGCCTGAAAGCATTTTAAGGATAAATCATCTATGGCAATCTCTTAATTCTACATATGGGGAAACTGAAACCCAGAGTTAATATGTGACTATCTCAAATCACAAGATTTTTAACCAAAATGACAACTCCTACTCAATACTCCTGGTTCAGTATGTTTTTTACTCAACTGCATTTCCCAAGTGTGATACATGGATTCCACAAGACATTAACAGATGTTCCTCTGAAAAAAGATTAGATAAACTAAGCCACTTCTGTGTAGAAGTGTCAAGGCCAGGAGACAGAGTGTTATTTATTGCCCATTTGGCACTTTGAAGATCATCAAAAAGTCTTTCCTCCTATTATAGCGTCAAGGTACTTGGAATTTGTAATTAAAGAGGTATTTGTTATATAACATCAAATATATATTGTAGGAACACATATCTCTGGAAGGAAAGATAAATGTAGCAGTGGTTACCTCTGGGGAAGGGGGCTTACAAGGTCAGAGGGGGGAGGGAGACCTATCTTCTACTATATACTCTTTAGTACCTACTGGAATCCTTATCGTGTACATAGATTTTTAATCTACAAAAGGAAATTTTTTTTTTAGTTTTAAAACTTGGAAATTGTCAACAGGGGACTGATTAAATATAGCACATCCATTAAGTGGAATAATGTGCAGTTATTAAAATGAAAGATTATAGCTTTAGATATACTGATACAAAAATGGTGATTTGTTAAGTAAAGAGCAAATTCAGAGTGTAAACATTAAAAATGTACCCATTTAAAAATGATTGCATTTAGGCCAGGTGCCGTGGCTCACACCTGTAATCCTAAGCACTCTGGGTGGCCGAGGTGGGTGGATTGCTCAAGGTCGGGAGTTCGAAACCAGCCTGAGCAAGAGCGAGACCCCCGTCTCTACTATAAATAGAAATAAATTAATTGGCCAACTAATATATATTGATAGAAAATAGCCGGAGCATGGTGACACATGCCTGTAGTCCCAGCTAATTCGGAGGCTAAGGCAGAGGATTGCTTGAGCCCAGGTTTGAGGTGCTGTGAGCTAGCTGACGCACGGCACTCACCCTAGCCTGGCAACCAAGTGAGACTCTGTCTCAAAAAAAAAAAAAAAAAAAAAAAAAAAAAAAAAAAGATTGCATTTAAATATGCATAGGGAGAAAAATCCCAAAAAATACACTAAACTGTTAATATTGATCACCTCTGCAAGATGGAATTAAAGGAGGCTTTTGTTTTCTAAGTTGAACATTTTGACATTGGTTGAACTTTTATGAGGAGTATATTATTTTATAATCAGAAAAAAAGATAACTTAAAACAGTTCTATAACATTGTAAATAGTCCAAGAAGGGAGGGAGGGTCATTGTCTTCAACAGTTGGGACAAATTTCAAACCCCTCGCTCCAGATGGAAAACCAGGTATATACTTGAAGTTTGTGCATTAGGGCAGGGGAAGTGGTGTAGTATGGTCTTGGCTCGCAACAGCATCTCAGTAATGTTTAATGTTATAATTGAGACTGGGACTGTAGACTAGACACCATTTGTGTTTTTCCCCAATGCGTGACAGTCTAGGTATTTATCACCAGGACCTTTAAAAAGACTGTTCCTGCCCTTACAGTCATTGCAATCTAAGGTAATTTGACATACCTGCTTTCCTCTCTTTGCTCTTCAACAATTCAATTCTTTTCTCTATTCCTTCACCTTTCTCATCTTCCCAGGCCTTTTTAAAAACTGCCACAAGAGGGCAGCAGCCTCATGCACAAGAAAGGCACTAAGGCATTGGCAATCACAAAAAGCAAAAAAGGATGCTGCCGTTATAAAAGCGTTATCAAAAGTTTAGAGATTTCAGCATCTTGTTCTGAGTATGTGGGCAGCCACATTTAATATTCTATTAAAACTGCAAACAATGGGTGGAAGAGAAAGTCATGCTGGTGAGTGGAGCTAATGTGTTTTCCTCTCTTCCAGATGCTGGCCAAGAAGAGGTGAGATAGAAAGGAGAACAGTCAAGACCCAAAGACTTAACCCTAATGTAAATTCTTGCACCAGGATGGAGGGGGAATCTTACCACAATGTAACCACCGTCAACGGCACCCCAGTAAATCACCAGCCTTTGGAACGCCACGGGTTGTGGGAAGTCATCACCATCGCAGCTGTGACTGCTGTGGTGAGCCTGATGACCATTGTGGGCAACGTCCTGGTCATGATCTCCTTCAAAGTCAACAGCCAGCTCAAGACAGTCAACAACTATTACCTGCTCAGCTTAGCCTGTGCAGATCTCATCATTGGCATCTTCTCCATGAACCTCTACACAACCTACATCCTCATGGGACGCTGGGCTCTCGGGAGTCTGGCCTGTGACCTTTGGCTTGCACTGGATTATGTGGCCAGCAATGCTTCTGTCATGAACCTCCTGGTGATCAGTTTTGACCGTTACTTTTCCATCACAAGACCCCTGACGTATCGGGCCAAGCGTACCCCAAAGAGGGCTGGCGTCATGATCGGCCTGGCCTGGCTGATCTCCTTCATCCTCTGGGCCCCAGCAATCCTCTGCTGGCAGTACTTGGTTGGGAAGCGGACCGTCCCACCGGATGAGTGCCAGATCCAGTTCCTCTCTGAGCCCACCATCACCTTCGGCACTGCCATTGCTGCCTTCTACATCCCTGTTTCTGTCATGACCATCCTCTATTGCCGAATCTACCGGGAAACAGAGAAGCGAACCAAAGACCTGGCTGACCTCCAGGGCTCTGACTCCGTGGCCGACGCTGAGAAGAGAAAGCCGGCTCACAGGGCTCTGCTCAGATCCTGCCTCGGCTGCCCTCGACCCGCCCTGGCCCAGAGGGAAAGGAACCAGGCCTCCTGGTCGTCCTCCCGCAGGAGCACCTCCGCTGCTGGGGAGCCATCCCAAGGCACTGGCCCAAGTCCTGACTGGGCCAAAGCTGAGCAGCTCACTACCTGTAGCAGCTACGCCTCCTCAGAGGATGAAGACAAGCCCACCACTGACCCTGTCTTCCAAGTGGTCTACAAGAGTCAGGCCAAGGAAAGCCCAAGAGATGAATTCAGTGCTGAAGAGACCAAGGAAACTTTTGTGAAAGCTCAGACTGAACAAAATGACTATGACACCCCAAAATACTTCCTGTCTCCAGCTGCTGCTCATAGACCCAAGAGTCAGAAATGTGTGGCCTATAAATTCCGATTGGTGGTGAAAGCTGACGGGACCCAGGAGACCAGCAATGGCTGTCACAAAGTGAAAATCATGCCCTGCTCCTTCCCAGTGGCCAAGGACCCTTCAACGAAAGGCCTTGATCCCAACCTCAGCCATCAAATGACAAAACGAAAGAGAATGGTCCTAGTCAAAGAGAAGAAAGCAGCCCAGACCTTGAGTGCCATTCTCCTGGCCTTCATCATCACGTGGACCCCTTATAACATCATGGTCCTAGTTTCCACCTTCTGTGACAAGTGTGTCCCAGTCACCCTGTGGCACTTGGGCTATTGGCTGTGCTATGTCAACAGCACTGTCAACCCCATCTGCTATGCCCTCTGCAACAGAACCTTCAGGAAGACCTTTAAGATGCTGCTTCTCTGCCGATGGAAAAAGAAAAAAGTGGAAGAGAAGTTGTATTGGCAAGGGAACAGCAAGCTACCCTGAAAAGCTAGCAACTCCTCTCAACAGAATAATGACCACAGTCACCTTCCTCTGAGGATGGGCAAGCTGATTCTCGTTTGCATATTTTTTAAAAAGACATCTGTCATTTTGAGCCCTGAGGACTTTTGTAAAGGCTCAAGGTCTGTTGCCAAAAGGAAGGAGTCACAGCTGCAGCAATTGCTGTCATATTGAATGATTCTTGCCTATGACCAAGGCCATCTGATGCCACTGGAGTTTGCCAGTGAAGTAAAGAGAGACCCAGAGCCCTTCACAGGAGGAAGCACACTGGGTCACAATGCACAATGGTTTAAGGAACTTTTGTCAGCCTTCTGTGGGAAACAGCAGGGACCAATCTTCTCCTACAGAAACCTGTCCTAGAGTTTTGTGCAATATGTATGTGTTCATGAAGTTGTCTTGTGCCAGTGAGAACCAGGAGACTATAAATCAGTGTTACCTGTTAACAAAAGTGCTTATTCAACTGGCTTCTAAGAATATATTCACAAACTGATCAGTATTTATTACACAGCTACCATGTGGTCTGCACTGTGGTATATTTTCCTGTCCCTACATCTGAGTGTGGCTCTTTCTCTTCCCTTTTATAACAGATGCCAATTCCTGGTACTCACTGAAACTATGTTGATCCCTACATAACCATCCTTCCTCTGAGAATCTGGGCTCAGAAGGACACTGAAACCTGCTTGCTTCTGTTCTGCTAATAAAGTTGATTAAGTCTCCACAGTCAGTTATTTTGGTTTTTACCAGGGGAAATTTTTTTCCCTATTATCTAAACAAATATTGTGCATTCTACTTTTGTGCCTATTTGAACTCATTTATTTATGCTATGCTCTTAGGAGGACTAGTTGTTTAACAGCCCTTTACTGGGTAAAGACCTTCAGATTACTCAGTCACAGTTCTTTTACATTGTTTCCAGAGGTCTTGCTTTCCTAGTCTCTGCACACGGCAAGCCTAAGCAAACTGTGGAAAATGAATTTGCTTGTGAACTCTTTCCAGAGCTCTTTTGCAGCCTCCAAATTCCCTCATTCAGATCTCCAATTCATACCCAGGCACAAGCAGGTCACTGTGCTGCCTTTAGGCAGAAGTGCTATTTGGGGGGATTTTCTTTGTTTTTATTAGGTCCTTCAAATCTGGGCTCTGACATGACTGACTTGCTCATTCCTCTCCAAATTCAAAGATGAGAAGCCCAGAAAAGCAGTTGAGGGTCCAGTGAAGCTGAAAATGATCTGAAAGCTTTATCTTCAAAAATAGAGGGTAGGTCATAGTAACGCATAACAATAAAACAGTTAACATAGCCGGGACACAGTGGCTTATGCCTATAATCCTAGCACTTTGGGAGGCTGAGGCAGAAGGATTGCTGGAGCCCAGGAGTTTGAAGTTGTTTTGAGCTAGGCTGATACCACGGCCCTGGCACTCTAGCCTGAGCAACAAAGTGAGACTCTGTCTCAAAAAAAAAAAAAAAAAAAAAAAAAAAAAAAAAAAAAAAAACATTAGAGTACCAGGATTATTAAAAACCAAAGTTAACTGAAATCTCTAAGTGTATATAGACAAACTGAATGATAATTCTGAAAATAAACCGAAGTGTAAGAAATTAAAACCATAAAAGGGTGCACAAAATTACTAAAAGGTCCACAAAGAAAGCAGTAGCGTGGCACACAAGGATTTTAAAGATGGAGCATTCCTGTCAGACAGAAGCTTGTTATTTAACTTGCTGATTACATCTGCAGCTGTTTAAAAATCGCCAGACTTCATTTCATTTAATGTAGCTCAGGTCTTTTTCAGTCTCCTTCGCTACGGGGATGGAAAAACAGCTGGTTTAATTGTCCTGGGAGTTAGGTATGTACCTTGTATAGAAGCCCCGCCCACTGATAAGCTCACCCAGCCTCCTACATGAAGTCCCAGAGCGCCTTCAGGGTAGCAGAATCCCAGGCAAGACAGGCTGGTACACCCGGGCCTCTCCTCCAGCCCTATAGGGATTTAACATTGAGATGAAACATCTCAGAAGCAGTGTAGCTGCTGAGCTTTTGTGAAAGGCAGGTTGATACCTGCCAAGAATTTGATAGAGAAAATTAACTGGCTCAGTTCTACAGGACAGAGGCTCTCAGGCTTATGTGATGCCAACAAGGTGTGGTTTCATGAACAAACCTGCTCTACCAGCTCCATATAAAATGGATTTTTTTTTTCATTTAAGGATTTTATTTCCAACAGAAATGAAAATTCATCCATGAGAATAGTAGCTTAATCCCATATTGGGCATTCACCGTTCACAGTACAGAGAGAAGCCAATTCAAACAAAAGAACACAACATGGGGAGGCTGTGCAGCCGGGGGGACCCTTTGCACACTCCACAATTGCTTAGAACTTAGCCTTTTTTGTGCACCTTTTATAAAATTAAGAGGCCTATGCTTCCCTCCTTATGAAAGCAGCCAGTTTTGCAGACTATCTATGTCCCTTGACATGGACAAAAAATATCCGAAACTGCTAGGGACAACTAGACTTCTGGAGAAAGGGCCTCTAGTGGGGTCCTCAGAATAAACAGACCCAGTTGTAAACTACAGGGACCTGGCACGGGCTGACTTCAGATCTTAGATCTTCTGTGCCCCCATCCTTCCAAGATCTGTCTGTGTTTACCCATGTACAGCTGTGACGAGTTACCTATTGGATGCTGCTATTTTGCTAACATTGTAACTTGTTACTTCTTGGCTGTGAATTTGATGGTTTGTCAGGGGATCTTTGTTTTCTGTACAATTTTTGGTTAAAGCATTTTGTCAATATGTCAGGCTTCTGCTTTGCTCCTTTCGTGAATGTCCTTTGAGAACGATGCTGATGTCAGCTCTTTGTAATTGTGAAACTGTACGTAAATCTCTGGATCGGAACATCCAATTGTCTACTGTAAATACTGGAATTACAGCAAAGGATATGGGGACTGGGCTGCTTTTCTGTATTGTGCTAGCACTATTCTACATATTAAAGAAATTTAACCACAGCGGTCCAATGTAAAGCTTTTAAATAAGAAAATGGTTTCAGGTTAGCTTGTTAAATTCATCTATATTTAGCAGTCCCTCACAACTTTGTGTGGCCTGGCCTTTTAAGAACACAGGGGTTGAAAGCCTGGCACTACACCTGTAGGCCCAGCTACTCAGGAGACTGAGGCGGGGGAATCCCTTGAGGCCAAGAGTTCAAGGCTGCAGTGCACTATGATTGCACCTGTGAATAGCCACGGACCTCCAGGCTGGGCAACATAGTGCAAGACCCTGTCCCTAAAAAAAAAAAAAAAAAAAAAAAAAATTTAATTAAGAAAAATTTTAATAAAAAGAGAAAGGTTGGTACATAATATGGACACACATCCCTCTTGATATCTTTTGTCATTCCCCTTCTCCTCTGACTTAGCAATGACCAAATTAAGATTAAATAATAATGATGCGATCTGTGACTAAAATGCTTCCCTTTCCCTCTAGGACAAGAGAGGTGGGGCAGACCTCAAATCACTGCCCTTTAGTGGGTAGAGACTTTGCACCAGACAGAACAGCAGCATTTCCTCTTCAGCTGTTTAAGAAGTTGGTGCCCCAGTCACCTCTTTCCCATTGTGAGTGACACTAATTTCCATCTCCCCCACCAGCAAAGTTCAAAGTCAAAACTCTACAAAAAGATACCCTCGGAGATGTGTCACTCTATCCCCATCCTATGCACCCCATTCCCATTCCCTGGAGGTAACACATTTCCTTCAGTCTCTGGTTTATCCTTGTTTCTTTCTTTTCTTTTTTTTTTTTTAACAAACTCCTTTAGCCACTTTTGCGTCCATATTTTAAAATATCATGCATATAACTTTATTTTGATTCTTTTGTTTAAGCAAATATCTACTGACTTCCTACCATGAAAAATAACTCTTACATAGTGATGACTTCCACTCCCCAAACACCCATCTCTCGCACTCTCAAAAATTTACAAAGCTGTGCATACACGAGTACCTCTGTGATCACTTGGGTACAGAGTACTAGAGCTCTCCATCAAGCTAAGGATGTGGGTCCTATAGAACAAGACACCATCAACAGTACCTTCTTGGAGTATCGACTGATACCGAGACTAGTTATGAAGACAACAAGTAGAACAAGTTGAACAACTCTGGAGACATTAAGTAATAACAGGCAAAAGACTAACACTGTTAAATATTCCCATTAAACTCAAAAAGGGCACAGCCAGCATTATCCTGCAAGGACTGTCCCCCCGTTTCTCCTGATGAATTAATGCGTGTGGGAAGGGGGAGCTACAACCTTACATTTATCTGTGATCTTCGATTAGCAAAGAAAGCCGAGGCCCAGCCCTGCTCACTGGGTTCAACCATCATCCTATGTCAGTGTGCTTTATATCAATGTATCCAAAGAGTCCTAACTTCATATTTTATATGGCTCTTGAACAAACCTTACACCACCAGATGCCTCCAAGGATGCCCTCATGTTCCTGCCAAGAGTAGTTCTCCAAAAGGTGTCACTGTCCCAGTCCTTGGCAATGGTTTTCTGGAGAGGGTTGTCTCGTGTAAATGTGTCTGCGGTGGTGTCCTCATAAAGGAATGAGCACCCTTATCTTCAACGGGGAACCGCTCAGACTCAACTACTCGCTTGTGCCCAACATCACCAGCTGGGGAGTCGTTTTTATTTTTAGTAGTTCCACATGTATTTAAAGACAGGTTTGTACTCCAGCCACTTCCAATCTAAAGCCGTGAAGCTACTGATCATGATGTACTATGTCAGGATCTCCCCACTGTACCATACAGTAGACTTCAGTAGAAAACGCCACAGGCTGGAGAATGGCAAAGAGGAAAAGGTAATACAAATTTAAACTGGTACTGGAGGACAATTCTTATCCCTGAAAAACTAGATTTCCATGAATAGAAAGTCCTCTGATGGGTCCTTTGGTAACCAGAAGGTAGGGCCTATCCAAAAGAGACAGAAACAAAATGAAATTGTTAGCAAAAAACAAAAAAATACTAGATTTTATGTTCATTATAACAGATTTTATAGTCATGAATATAAGAATATATATTATCTTGGAAAACAAATAAGCAAATACAAAATTACCTGTAATTCTACCACCCACATATAACCTTGTCAAATATCTTAGCATCTATCCTTCTAGTCTTTTTTATATGTACAGGCATATACGTTTTTAAACACACAGAGCTGCTAAATACTCTTCTGCAATCCTCATGTTAATATCTTGCAAAAACTATCTGATCATTCAAACTCCTCAAAAGCAGAAAATCATAAGGCTTCAAGTAACATGGGGAGCTCCCATCCATACCTAAATGTAGATTAGATGGTTACTTCTGTCCTTTTCCGTGTCTGTTAGATGCACCTCGTACAGTTTAGTCTACAGGGATCAGTATCATCAGGAATTCTTGAGAAGAACCAATTACTACGTGCAGGGATTTCTTAGAAAAAGATTTATAAAATCTACCTTTTAAAATAACTGCATCAGTTTCCTAGGGTTCCAATAACACAATTCCAGAAACTGGGTGACTTTACAGTTTCACAGTCTGGAGGCCAGAAGTGTGAAATCAAGGCGTCAGCAGGTGTTCCCTCTGAAGGCGCTGAAGAAGAATCTGTTCCGGGCCTCTCTCCCGGCTTCTGGTAGCCTCAGGGGTTCTTTGCCTTTTAAATGGCCATGTCCCTGTGTCTCTTCCTATTACCTTCCTTCTGTGGATGTCTGTGTCTATATCCAAGTTTCCCT